GTGGGGGAGCGGCTCTACCCTTCCTCAGGCCACTGGGCCTGTTCTGTCTGTTGGTTGCAGGTCTGGCCTGTTCTGATGGTGGTCACAGTTCCGTCTACCTTGCAGGCGCGGGGGGAGGGGGCGACTCTGCCTCTCAGCAGGCCGCTGCTCCTCTTCTGCCGGTGAGTCGCAGGCCCGCCTACCTTGCAGGAGTGATTGGAAGCTCTGTCCCGCCGCGGGCCACTGGGCCTTTTCTGTCGGTGGTCACAGTTCCGCCTACCTGGCATGTGTGGGGGGTGTGGGGCAGCTCTGCCGCTCAGCAGGCCGCTGGGCCTGCTCTGTGGGTAGTCACAGTTCCCTCTACCTTGTCGGTGCAGGGGGAGGGGGCGGCTCTGCCTCTCAGCAGGCCGCTGCTCCTCTTCTTCCGGTGGGTCGCAGGCATGCCTACCTTGCAGGAGTCCCCAATAACTTTTAAATTCAGACTTTTCATGCTATCCATATTTCTTGAATGTCCTGCTCATGGTTTCTTACCATTTTCACTGTGTGTTCTACATTCTTTACAAGATTATATATTTGTCTTCATTGTCTGACATCCTGTATTCCAAGTGGACTAATATATTGGTGATGCTTTCAATTGGAGCTTTAATTTGGTTTATTGTTTCTTTCATTTCAAGGATTTTTGTTTGCTAATTTCTTAGAACCTCTATCTCCCCATTGAAGTAATCTTTTCTTCCTGTATTTTCTTATGTAACTCTCTATCAAAATGATCTTATGCTCGTGTAGTTGCTCTCTTATATTATCCATTAATCCACAGAACATTTTAATTATGTGCATCGTGAACTCCCTCACTGTGATTCATCTGTGGTGCTGGCCATGGATTCTAATAATGCCATATCTTGTTTTGTTTCGGGCACTTTCTTCCCTGGTCTATTTATGTTGATTGTGTGTCTTCCCTTCTAGCACTGTGGATCTATGTCGTTAACATTTTAACCCTATTGGTTTATAGTGCCCCTTCAGGGTTCCAATATCTCTTGTTTAAGGGGAAAGACAATGTTAACAGATCCCATTACAAACAGTATATAACCTTAAGTTGTATACAACCTCAAATTGTTGCTATTAAGATGTTAATACTTTGGTCATGATGTACAGAAATGGTGAATTCTATTATTATCTACAATGTAATCAGTAGGTTTGCAACAGGGCTTACAGGTTGTGATGGTGGACAAAGAACCTGAGGTGAGGTGTAGGATGTTATGCCTACAGAACTGGTGAAACATTGTGGTTATTTTAGCAAGGAAGTTCCTTCATTCCCAGGAGCTTCTGGACCTGAGGAAGAGGTCAAGGCAGATAAGATTCTAACATGGAGGAAATTTCTATAGCAACGAGGCATTCTATGCCTTTGCCCAGAAACTTTCCCAGTCACCAAGTATGCCACAGCCATGAAGTCATCAGGGACCCCAACATCAGACACTGGTCTCCCAGTAACTGTTAAACTCCCCATGCTTTATCCTGGTGCTCTGCAGCTCACAGGGCACCTGTGGCCCACAGGCAGGCTGTGCTTCACAGCAACTGGGGCAGAGCAGCTGGTGGGCTCCCCACACCAAGAAGGGATGGGTGATTGACAGCTAGGTGTGCACAGCCTGGGACTTCTCATGGTGCCTGGCACCCCTGTGTCGGGGTGCTGTCCTCTGCTTCACTAGGGCTAGGTTTCAGTGTAAGTATGAAATTATAGCTGGAATCACCAGCTGAGTGTCTGATGGAGAGAGATGCTGACATTTTTAATCATATTAACAATGAAACACCATCACACGTAAAAGAAAACAAAATACAACATATTAATTTATAATCAGGTTTTTAAAAATATATTCAACTGTCAATACCTAAATCTCATTTACTTACCTGAGTACAATTTTTATAGTCAGAAATGTGAGATTAAGCAATCAAACACAGGGTCTCTGCAAGTGAGAGGCACAGTGTTTAGAGGAGATAATCCCTGCATCCACTGAGCTCAGGCATGGGCTAAACAAGACCCCAGAGCAAGTCCTGAGGTTTCAATGAGACAAAGCAGACAGAAAATATAGCATGTCAGAAGATAGATATTGGGAGAATTATGTCTTTATTTAGATGAAATGTCCCTTTTGTTCACTAAATTACAATAAATTGTACAACGTAAACTATTACTCAGGTATGTCTCAGGCCACCATAGGTATACAACAAAGAAACATCATTGTATTTGTACTTAATATGAAGAAAAATAGAGAGTAAATTGCAGAGATGATAACAGGCAGGAAAATTTCAGGTAGGAAATAGGGACAGGGAGCAAGTACTCTGCTATAAAATTTTGCTTATTTATCTATAAATTCATCAAAATGAACCACACATTTTGCACAATTACATCCAAAATAAAATATTAAAATATAGAGAAAATTGGAAGTATCATTGACAGAAATATAAGTGGCACAAGTTGTTATAAAACATAACACTCTAACTTGGCAACTTACAAATTTATTATGCAAAATCAATGCTATAGCTCTAAACACATATTTTTAAACTACATAAATTATTAATTCTGTGGAATGAACAAAAGACTAATTTAGGACAATCTGGGATATAAATATTGCCACTGCTCATCCTCACCCAGACTGTAGCTGGTCTCTAGGACAGGGTGGGCACTAACGTGAGCTGGGACAGGGCCCAGGGTGTCCCTGTCTATGACACTGCAATGCAGCCACACTGGCTGGAAACCCAGGCAGGCTCCAAGCTGCCTCTCCCCAGCAGCCAGCTGTCCTGGGGCTTCTCAGGCTAAGGGTCACCTCACAGGAAGATGGGGTCAGAGTGGTCCTGGGCACAGTGTTTCTTGAGAGTCCTTAGGTCAGGGGCAGAGCTGACCCACAGTCAGACCAAGAGAAGAAACACCTCCATGCACAGCTGACCACTCTCTCTCCTGGGTCTTTGCAAATGGAGACCCTGTCTCTCCAACATCTTGTTCAGGTCACCTCTGTCCACAGGGCATGCACAGCTTCATGATGAGTGGGAGTATCCACACTTTGGAGCCCTGGGTGTGAGGTGTGCGTGTCATAGAGGCTCATCATGAGGGGCAGACAGCTCCCACACACCAAGGTTCACTCTGAATATGTACATTTTTATGCATTTTAATAAGTTTTAAGGTTTTCTGTCAACATTTTCAGCTCAGTCCATGGATATTTGTATCAGATAATTCCTTTACAATTCATCCTTAACATGTGAAAACAACTCCCTCTAGACATTGCCAATGGTCCCCAGGGGTAGAAAGTTCTGGCACTAAGTGGGCTCCAATAATGTGTGCACTGTGTCCTGATCCATCAAAGGAAGAACAGTAGATGAAGTGGGAATGGGAAGGAGTCATGGGAAGGGGACAGGGGATCCACCTGAAAAGGCAGGGACCAAGACATGGCGTCAGGAGGTTGTAAAGTTAAGCAGGTGTGGGGGAGCTCACCTGGAGCCCCAGGGACACTGAGGGCTGAGGCAGGAGAATCATAACTTCAAGGTCAGCCTGGGCATCTTAGGGAGAACCTGTCTCAAAATAAGACACAAATAAGCCAGGAATGGAGCTCAAGGGTGGAACTCCTTGGATTCAATCCCCGGTGATGAAAAGAAAAATCTGTAAACTTCACTTGAACTACGCTGTTCAGGAAATGTCACTGAAAATTCATCTCCATCTGCAAAACTGCCTGGTCTGTGCTGAGAGAATTCCAGAGAAGACTTAGAGACGAATCACCTCACAGAGGGTCTGGCAGAGGAGGGACCTCGAGAATCTGCAGGCAAGGTGGAGTCCGGAGGTGCTGGTGGCAGGGATCTCAGGGCCTGAGCTGAGCTGCTCCCTCCTCCCTCTGCACCTGCTCCTGGGTGACCCTGAGTTCCCTGTGTGCTGAGCGCCCCCTGCTGGCCCTGAGGGCCCTGCAGAAGGTTTGTGTCTGGGCTAAAACTGAGGTGAGCCCTGTGGGTAAAGCAGAGAATGCCAGGTGCCCAGGTGCTGGACACGGAGCTACAGGACCTGCTTGTCCAGCTGGACTTTGGTCTCACTTTGCTCCCATCCCTTTATTCTATGCCTCATTTCTAACTTTCAAACTGGAGATGTTGACTCTGCACCTTTATATATCAGACACCTGGAACTTGGTTTTGAACTTTACTCCCACAGTGAGGAGTTTCCATTGGGCCTCAGAAGAGATTTTGTGCCTTGGCTTTGGGTCACCCTGGGGCTGTTAGGACAGTGCTGACTCTTGAAGGTGGGCTCAGTGAGTTTTGAAATGTGAGATGGGCCTGAATATTGGGGGCCTGGGGAAGAACACTAAGGTTTAGAAATGAAGTGTCCCCAAGAGATTGTGTGCCAATGCAATGATTTGTAGAGGTGGAAAGATTAGATCATGAGCATTGGAACATAATAAGTGGACTCATGCACGTATGTGTATCACCTGGGTGGCAACCAAATGTGGGAAGGCTGTGTTGGTAGAGGTAGGTCACTGGGCGTGTGCTTTTGGGGTTGTAATTGTGTCCCTGGTGAGCAGAGCTCTCTCTAAGCTTCCTTGTTACCATATCCTGAGCTGGTTTCCCTTCTGCCATGATGGTCTCCCTCACCTAGGACCAGAGCTGTGGAGTCAGCTGACTGTGAACTGAGACATATGGAGGTCTTGAAGGAGCTCAGGATGGGCAGAGTGGGCTTCAGCTCCCACAGGGGTGTGGCCTTGCCCTGTCCTGCACCTGTGTCTGCTGTGGGCACCCTGCTCCTTCCTGGGTGCACACTCAGGTCACTCACCCCACACTCCAGGGACACAAGGGTGAGGAGTGGACCCAGTGCCCTCTGTGCACACTGAGACCAGGTGAGCTGAGGGTGTCCAGGTCAGTGAGTCACAGCCAAGTCACTTTGTGGGGTGAACTGAGATGAGGCTTAAGGTGGGCACAGGGTTCCTGAGCCTGGCAGAGCTGGCATTTGGGCTCTGGGATTGTGAAGTGGGAGGCAGCAGGGAGCTCTATACCACCCAGAGTCAGGAGAGGCCCACTGCCCTGCAGACACCCAGACTGACACCAGACACTGCCATGGTCCCTGAGGTGGAGCCCAGCAGCAGCAGGACCTGTGGACACCACATCCACATGCAGGACATCACCTCTCAGGTAAAGGCTCAGGCAACTCATGAACCAGGGTGGGAGAGGTCACCAGGGAGAGATGAGGTGGAGATGTGGCCAAGGGTGGAGGGCAGATGTGCAGTCACCAGGAGAACCACTGTGTCAAAGTTGTTTCTATGATGACAGCTAAGGACACTGTGTGGTAGGCTGAGTAGTGTGTGTGTGTGTGTGTGTGTGTGTGTGTGTGTGGTGGGGTGGCTGAGGACTCTGGGATCCCGTGCTCTGGTCTGGAAGAGGAGGCTGCAACCTTGGTGTGAACTGACAGCTGCCTGCCCTGGGGAGGGTGAGCCCAGGTCAGTGTGTAAAGAGCACCTGGCAGGGTCAGGTTCATGGCTGTGGTGGGTGGAGGTGTCTGAGAGCCTGCTGAGCCTTCCCCATGTGAGTCCTCTGCAGCGGCCCAGGAACTGGCTGCTGGAGCAGGGGGCAGGCCTGGAGCTCAGGGACAGCAATGTGACAAGGTAGCAGAGTCTGCCTTCCAGGGGTCTAACCCATACAGTGTCACACAGAGACACACACACACAACACTCCTGCACACACACACACACACACACACATACACACATAACCTACACACATATATACACAATTGGACACATAGACTCACACGTGTACTGTGCAGCCTGACCTGAGAAGGTGGAGAGAGACACTCCTGACTCCTTAAGAGAAGAGCATGGGATGATCTGAGGCAGAAGAGACCTCCAGATTCTCCATGATGGGATCCAGGGAGACACTTATCACCTGGAGAGAAACCATACACTCTCCTCTGCACTTGCTCAGGGGTGACGGAAGCTCCTGTGTGCTGAGCGCCCCCTGCTGGCCCTGGGCACCCTGCAGGAGGTTTGTGTCTGGGCTCACACTGAGGTCCCCTCACTGTGTCTCTGACACAGTAATAGGTGGCCGTGTCCTCAGTGGTCAGGGAGCTCAGCTGCAGGGAGAACTGGTTCTTGGACGTGTCCCTGGAGATGGACACTCGGCTCTTGATGTATGGGTTGTAGTAAGTGCTACCATCATAACCTATGCACCCTATCCACTCCAGCCCCTTCCCTGGGGGCTGACGGATCCAGCTCCAGCAGTAACCACTGGTGATGGAGTAACCAGAGACAGCACAGGTGAGGGACAGGGTCTGTGAGGACTTCACCAGGCCAGGTCCTGACTCCTGCAGCTGCACCTGGCACAGGACACCTAGGGACAAGGACAGCCACACCCTGTTAGTCACCTGTAGTCACAACCTCCCCATGGACTCAGGTCTGACACTGGGGACACTCACCTTGGGGAGCTGTGACCAGGCACAGGACAAGACCCAGCAGCCTTATCTTCTAGACCACACCTGCCTTCCCAGAGACCTCAGCCCTGTCTGAGAGAGAGCTGGGAGCTCCCACAGCCCAGAGGGCCTTTGAAACCAGAGCAGCAGGAGGAATTTGCATGTGGGTGAGGCTCCTCTGATATCTGGAGAGGCTGAGGTCAGGCTGCCCAGGTCCTCTGTGCTCCTGAGATGTGTCCCTGTCTTGAACCCAGGTGGAGCTTTACCTGTGAGAGGAGAGCAGGTGGTTTCATGGGTGCTGGAAGGCTGTCAGAGGGGGAGCCCACCCTCCTGAGCCCAGCCCTGCTCCTCCAAGCCCTTCCTCCCTGCTCCTGGGAGGGTGTCAGAGTGGCAGGAACGTGCCCAGCATGCAAGAGGCCCAGGTCCACCTCCCAGCCCTGAAGGAGAAGCCCTCAGTGATGACTGAACAGAGCCCAGGGCTGAGGATGGGGTTCCACACATCCAGGAGAAGAGCCCCCTTTGTTCTCAGGACTAGTTCTTCTCTTTCATCTCTGTGAGATTTGGGGGCTGCAGACTGAGCAGGAGAGGAGGGAGCAGGGTCTCAGGAGGGGAGGGGCTTCCTGCTGTGTGCCCACTGCCCTCCCCACCCTGTGCCCTGCTTGTCCTCCTGACTGTCCAGCCAATGCCTGTGGACAGCAGTGGGTGGGAATCTGCCCTGAGCTCCTCCCCTCACCTGTCCTGCCCTCTGGTCTCCACCAGGAGAGGACAGGATGGAGGTGCTGGGCCAGGGGAGAGTCCTGGGGGCAGAGGCAGCTCTCAGCTGCAGCCTGAGGCTGAGAGCCCCTGAGTGCCCCAGAGCAGCAGGGCCAGGCTGACAGCAGACAGGACGGCATGCAGGGCAGGCTGGGTGAGGGAGGAGGCCCAGTCCCCTTCCCTTTGCAGCATCCCTGCAGTGAGACCTGCCTTGCCCACAGCCCAGCATTTAGAGAGAACAGTGGACACTGTCTTTAGTGAGGTGGGGTCACTGAGAGGGCAGGTGTAGTTGCTGACCTCCTGATGAGGTTCAGGAATTGACCTCCTGCCTAACTGAGTGAGCACAGCCCACTAATAAGACATGTGGGCTCCTCTCCATGTTCCCTGTGGTGTTGACCATGAACTCCCTGCAAACACTGAGCCTGCAGCACCTACCTCCTGGTCCTGTGGTGACCCAGGTATGTCTTTGCTGATCTCCATGATTTTGCTGTCTGCAAATGCACATGTCTCTTTTTGTGTTGTTTCCAATTCCTAGCAAATCATTTGATTTAGAAAGCTGTCCTTCCATGTGTACTAATGGAGAGATTTCTATATGCTTCCTCTTCCTACCTGGGGAATCTGAAGCCCCCTCTGTGATAGATTTCCCAACTTTTCTTGGGCCATGGGTAACCCAGTGGGCTCCAGCAAGCCTGAGATGCATGTGGATGTGCTTCATGTAACTTGTCCTTCCACTGCATTGACCACCAGCCTCCCCGGAGACTTCCCATTCATTTCTGTGTTGATCAAAATTTCATGGATCCAACATCTTGGTCTCTTCAGTCTCCTCAATGACTTCCTCACCAATGACGCTTGTTTCTTTGGAACTTTCCTGAGTGACCTCTATCTCAGTTAAGATGATTACTCCTCCAGTTCTTGGGTGATTCACCTGGTTGACAAACAAACTCAGGACCCATGGACAAAATTGCTGTGAGTTATATTTAGAAGAAGATTTCCTGTAAGTCACTTGCTTCCTTTCTAAGCACATCCATCTTGCACCAGGGACAGACTTGGGGATCATTGCAAACACAGCAATCACAATGCACACACATGGCAGGGACTGTGACCTTCCTTAGCTGCTCAGAAAAACTTTTACTCTCAGCAGGAGACAGACACAAGAGGATGGGGATGGGGTTGAGAAACTCTTCTGGGAATTGGGCCTTGGGAGGAAATTGCCTTCTCAGGCAGCTGAGGTCCATGGCCTCTCTGCCCACAGCCATGGTGCCACAGCCAACTACAGGACAGGGGGATGGCCCAGGACCCACCAGGTCTGCCAGGACTGCACCTGGAAGAAGAAAACAGCAGGCACAGAGACATGGCAGGAGGGACTGATGGTGACTAACAATGAATGAATGAGCAGAGCCAGGGTAGGGGGCCTCAGGATGGTCCTGCAACACATGAGAGGAGAACTGATGGGAAACCACCTTAGGAGGACAGACACACGCTGGTCCAATACCCAGATGACCACAGTGAGGCCAACTGCAGTCCAACAGCCATGATGAACTAGGGGCTGGAACTCTGCAGAGAAGTCCTGGCAGGCTGGAGCTGAAGGGCAGGGCACAGTGAGAGAGCCACACCTTGACAGGGGCCACCTGCCTGGGGTGCAGGGAAAGCTAAAGGAGCAGCCCACTGTGGTTCCCCCCTCAGGACTGCAGAGGCCAATGTCACAAGAGCATTTCAACTAACCTAGAGTATACCACTGGGAGAAATCCAGCACTTTCCATGATGAAAGGAACCAGCACCATACTCAGAGGAAGAACAGCAGAGTGAGGCTAAGGATGAGGCCAGGGGGCTCTGTGCAGCTGGACTGTGTAGTGGGGCTGCCCAGAGCCCTCACCCCTGTCCCCCACAGCTCTGAGGACAGAATTGGAGCACTGGATTTAATGTCAGGCCTGCTGGGCTTCAGTCCCTTTCTACATGTCTCTGCCTTTTTCCTTCTCAATGAGAGTACTCACCCCTGCCATACGACTTGGGAGTATAGGACCCCTCTTTGATTTTAAGGCACATGGTAGAGAGTTCCCTGAATCCTGCAGAATCTTGTAGTGGTCAGACATGCTGACCTCTGTTCTGCCTCCCCACATTGTGCAGCTGGTTTTCACAAACTAAAACCACACGCCTGGGGCATGGCTACTATATAGTAGGCTTCAGTGTGCACAGGGCTCTGGGGTCCACCTGGACTTCTGAGCTCTGCTGGAGGATTTGTGACTTTAGGGACTCCAGGATGAGGACTGAATGTGCTCTGCCTTATGAGATGGATGTGAAAGCTTTGTGTCCAGGTATAGAATGACTAGTGTCATAATTGTCCTCCCAAAATAACATGTGCTAAGGTTGTTCTGCAGCCCTGTGTGCTGTTGGAGAGCTGGGGATCCCTCAGGATATGGGGACTTTGAAATTTATGTCAATCACTGTGGACATGAGCTGCAAGTGTGTGGTCAGACCCCATCTCTTCTTCCCTCCCTTTTGATTCCTAGAAACAGGGTGAGGGTGAGCAGCTGTCCCCACAGTGGGCTCTCTGCATTGCCCCCAGCACACCCAAGAAAGGTGTAAATGCAGTGGACTCCTCTCTTCATGGACTAGAACATTGGAAGTCATGAGTCAAAGGAAAGCTCCTCTTCATGTGTTGATGGCCTCAGGCATTTGCCACAGGGGTGCACAGCTGAGGAACCCAATTTAGGTTACAGTGCTAGGAGAAAAGGCCAGGCCTGAAGGACAGCCTCTTCCTGGCCTCATTCTCCTGTCCATGTAAGAAGCTGGCCTCACAGGGGCAGTGCTGGACAGTGGCTATGGTGGTGAGCAAGGTCAGGAGAGGGAGTGGCTGAGACAAGAGGCACATGGCCATGGCTGACACAGGAGCTCTTCTCTGTCCTCACCCAGAGGGTGGCTGTGGGCAGCACACTCACCCTGCAGACCCAGCAGAGCCAGCAGGAGGGATCAGGAGGGCTCTCCTCCCAGGAGGGAGAGTATTGGGTGATGGGTGGACCACGTGTCCTGAGCTGACCACAGGCCATGCTCAGGCACCTGGACCTCTGCTCCTGCCTCCCCAGGATGTGCAGCCACTTTTCACAAACTGAAATGACAGTCCTGAGGTGTGGCCACAGGTAGAGCATGCTCCACCTAACACAGGGCCCTGGGGTCCACAGGAGTACACAAAGATCCTAAAGTCATTTGATTATGATGTTGAGACCTGCAAGGAAAATGTCCCCAAGTCCCAGGATCAGAAAGTTAGCAGAAGCTGGAGGTGGAAACTGAGAGACAGAAGCCAACAGAAATGCAGCACAGGGAAGCACCAGAGGGGCCCAGTGAGTATCAGGTGCACCAGGACAGGGAGCAGGTCCTGAGCAGTTTCCAGTCAGACACCAAGAATCAGTCAGTGACCGTGTCCCTGGGAGTTACCTGAACACATTAAAGGAGGACAATCCACAACTCCAGCAGAGGGAAGCTGAGGAGGTGCTGCTCACCCAGCACAGACTGGACTCAGCACACACAGGCTGGTCCTGAGGTGGGCACACTGAACTTCCAAGGATGTGAATCCAGCCCTGGGAAGGAGTAAGTGTTGGTCTGTGCCACTCTGGTCTGGAGATCAACACCCAACTGCCAACCTGGCAGCTCCCATGGTGCTAACTCTGCAGGCTAACAGGGTGCCCGAGTGTGGAGGTGGGTCTTCGCCACCCTGATTCCAGAAGATTCACTGGGTAGCCCTGGGACACTGGCAGAACTAGAGTATTGGGAGCAATATCCCCTAAGGTCCCAGTACTCTATTTCTACCAGCTACAGGGCCAGCTTGGAGGGCAGCAGGCAAGAGAGCTCACCCTGTGTAGCATGTCCTGAGGCCAGCAAAGACATGGGGTGGGACAGCCTGAGGCTTGGGCACAGGACCTCTCTTCATTGTGCACAGAAGTTGGGACATGGAGTCTAAGCATCCTGTCATTAACTCATTAACATGGTTGTTGAAGCACTTTTAATAATCACATTTTGTCGCTTGTATATGTCTATATGTGGAAAATATGCTGTGCACAGAGGAAGAAGGTAATTTAGGCTGTCCCTGCTGGCCCTGGGCATGGCCCTGGAGCACATGGACCTGGCTGAAATGGGTCAGGCAGAGGGAGACCATGACCACACCATCCCTCATGTTTTTGTTTGGTTGCATCAGGTCCTGGAAAGAGAGAGGACAGTGGCCCTGCAGATGGGAAGGTGCAGGGAGGGCAAGGGTGAGGGTGAGTGGTGAGGGCCACGTGCAGAGAGGGCCTTGTCCTGGGGCTCTGCAGCTCACAGGGCAGCTGTGGCCCACAGCCAGGCTGTGCTTCACAGTGACTGGGGCAGAGCAGCTGGTGGTCTCCCCACTTCCAGGAGGGACAGATGATGGACAGCTGGGTGTGTACAGTCTGGGACCCATCTTGGTGCCTGGCACCCCTGTGTCAGGGTGCTGTCCTCTGCGGCAGAACATCTACGTTTCACTGAAAGTGTGGAAGTACAGTTGGAATGGCCAGCTGTGTGTCTGATTGTTTGGGCTTTCTTTCTCCAGCCAGGAGGTCCAAGGACCAGGGTAGAGGAGAGTATGTCTTCACAGTCACTAATTAAGACCTCAGGACACCAAGCAGGAAGCAGGTCTGATTTTATTGTGCAGTTATTGTGTGTATATATACTCAGGCAGTACCTTAGCAGATTACAGGCAGCCACCAATGCAGTTTCTGCTAAATGTCCTTGCAGCGACCAATCGAGGAGTGGCCCATGGAGCAAACACAGGGACTGCACACAAGGTCTCAAGCCCAGGGCTATGCCCATGGGGTAAGCAGCCTGCCTCTTACATGCCTGGCACAAAGGGAGTGGCCTGCCACTCAGACACCCTCAACATATGCCACATATGCAGTACTCCATGCACCTGTCCCCGCATATCCCCCCTCTGACTGTGCCACAAGGACCTCAGCCAGCATTGATGTTTTTCATTTGGTTGCCCTTACATGGCTACATAAACATCTAAAAACACAAGAAAAAGTTATCACTATTATAAACAGTAGGGCCAGGGTAATAGCATTATAAGGATTAGTTAATTTAGCTATCAGGGTTTCAGTTAATCCCTGGAAGAAAGAAGAGGTTGTCAAAATAGACACCTTAGTCTCACTGATTTTGATAGTGTCTTAGAAGGTTTTGCATAGCCATAATACAGTTAGCATCCCAAGTTCCCTTAATATACTGAGAAAAACTGGAGAAATTTAAGGTTACATTTTAAGATACAGCATATTGGGTGACACAAATACTATGAAACTCAGGGTAACAGTGAGCCTTGCAAAATAAACAGAATATCTAGTTGTTCCTGGTGGAGGTCTGTTTCTTGCTGAATGATTAAAATAGCACCTCAGGACATTTTATTTAAGTCATTTTGAAATACAAAGGCTTCTGCTGTGGCAGTAGACACATTGCTCACAGTCTGAGCAGTCTGGATACTCTTAGTGAGTGAAGCAGTGGCAGTGGCTATGGTGGTGATGGTGGCTACCAGGTTGATAATTCCAGCAATGATGAGGCTAATTGCACACCTTCTCTGGTGCAGGATGTCATTCAGAAGACTCTTCATCTCCCTGTTACAAGGTCTCTTCCACTCTCTGGACAAGTTCACTGGAAGTCAGATTGCTGGGGGCAGTTTAAGGGTAAAAAATACATTTAGCTTTCATATCAGGGGTTAGAAAATTTGTGAGCCAGCAGGATGTGGTGACTGAACAAGGGACCTCTGTATGAGTGCTATTTATGCCATCAGTATCATTGATTATTAGCATGGCAAAGGTGTCATAATACAAGCTTGTGCCTTGTGGGTATGGGCATAATTTGGAACAAGGGCAAATCCATGGTCAGAGTCTGGACTCAATATCGACCCATTCATCCAGCCAGCTGCTGCCCATTTGTGGGCCTAGCCACCAGCAATATTGGCGTGATATCCATCATCCATACTGATTTACTGCATACCAGTTCGTAATAGCTCATCCTGTGTAACAGGTAGTGCAGTGCCCCATGTGATTTTGGGGCACAACAGTTACATTCCAGGGAGCTGCACCCACCTAGGCACATAGGTGTTATACTTTCCCAGAGAAATTCCTCTTATCATGGAGATAAGGAATGATAGTGACACATTATTCCATGGGATGATATCATTATCTGAGGGGGGCTTTCCAAAAAGCATTGTTGGGCATGTTGGCAGCAAGGGTTTCTGCATTTGCCATGGGGGAGTCTGTGGCTATAGGTAGTATTAACTAAACCTCTAAGGTCAGTGAGAGACAATCCAACATGTGACTTATTACAGTTATCTACAATAGTTTCATTGGCAAGAGCAAAACAGAGGGGACTGTCTAGATTATAGACTTCATTATCTACTATGGAGAAAAAAGTAGGCACAGTGGGTATAGAAATGCTGATATTGTAGGGGACAGTTACCTCCTGGATGGATAAATCAGGATCAATAAGGTTGGAATTATTGGAAAAGAGCTTGGGTAAAACCTGTCCCAATTAGCAATAGCCAGAAGGGGTGGTCTAGTGGTCAGGGCCCAATTTACCTGACAGGAGGCTTCACTGTTAGCAGTGAGCATTGTACACAGTAGGACCACAATCATAGCCCCAGGGATGTGGTTGCCACCAGGCAAAGGAGCCAATCTGGTGGCTTGGTCAACAAGTCATTTAAGATCACCCCAGTTACTTTACCTGAGGTCTGCTTGTGTTGTTGAGGTCTTTGCCTGTGAGGTTTTTCCTCCAGAGTTAGTTCCTTCATCTCCTTGGTTTGTGGTTCTGGGGGTCCAGGGCTTGACTTTCTGACAGGCACCAGCTGGTGTGAGGCTCCTGTTAACATTTGCAAACCCTCCACACTTTATTAGGAGGGAAGCCAGACCATCCCATGCACTTGTTATTGGATCCCTCCATGAGAGGGAGGGCCCCGTGAGGGGGGCCTATGTTTATAGGCTGCTGTGTCTGTAGAATATTTTGACATTGAAAGAAAATTTGAAGCAAGTAAGGTTCTTTTCTAGGCATCATGAGGGGACTTGGTATAGCTTCTCCCTCTGTTTTGTAGCATGGTCTTTAATTCCTTGTGTGTTCTTTCTATGATGCCTTGAGCCTAAGGGTTGTAGGGGATCCCAGTTAAGTGCTGTATATGCCAATCACTGCAAACTGCCTGAAATGCCTTGCTAGTACAGGCTGGCCATTGTCAGCTTTAATAGAAATGGGAAACTTTGTGATTCCAAAACATTGAAGTATGTGGGTGATGACCATTTTTTGGTTTCTCCTCTGGGGACTGTGGCCATTACACAGCCTGAATAGATATCAATGATTATACAAATATATTTTAAATTTTCAAAGGTGCATAATGAGACATCCATTTGCCATAATGCACTATATGTTAACCCTCAGGGATTCACTCCAGCAGCTTGTAAAGGCCAATGGGGAGAAAAGGTGCACATTTCTCGCAATCTCTGACTAGCTGTCTGCAAGCCTCCTTAGTCCTGCTTTCATGTAACTGCCATGGCTGAGGCCAGCAGAGAGGCTTGAGCTGCTTGTGTCCCTGTATCCTGGGTGACATTAATCCAGTCATCCAGTGTGCCATTATGTGCTGGTGCCACTCCTGCTCTGTGTTCCTTCTTTAGTCCATCCCAGATCAACTCCTTGGCTAAGGCTGTTCTAGGTCCTTCATTAGACACCTTCCCTTCTGCACCTTCTTTACTCTCTCAGTAAACTGTCAAGTCCTCTGTGGATCTCTACCTTAAGCCCTGTATAGGGACAGTACCTGCCCCAGCTGGTAACATCCCCAGGCCCTCAGAGCACAGAGCTGCACCTGGTCACAATGCTTTTGTGGGACAAATTATTGATATCCAAAGGAATCCCTGCCTCCTGGAATGGGTATCTGGGAGACCATGGCTTGGGCCTGCCTGTTGGCCTGGTCATTTCTAAGCTACCATAGTCCCTTGCTGGCTTAGGTATTGCCCCATAAGGAGGCAGTTGCCATGGACTCAGGGAAGGATATAACCTTTGCCTGTCAGTAGAAGTTGCACCTGCACATTTGTGGCCACCTCTTCCTGCACATGAAGGCCAGCAGCACCATGTCCTGTCTCTCTCCCTCCTGCAGCTGTGGGGTTGCTGGCTGTGAAGTAGATTCTCACCCCTTTCCTGTACCTGCTGCGCGTGCTTGCTTTGAGGTACATTGACACCCCACCTTTTTCCTCTTGCCTGTGTGTTTTCTTGATCAGTCTCACCAAAGATTTGTCCATTTTATTGATCTTTAAAATGACAGAACTTTTTTTCATTGATATTTTGTACGGTTGGTTTTATTCTCAGTCACACCACTCATGTCTTTATACATGTACTTAGGATAATGATGTCCATCTCATTCCACCGCCATTTATTTATGTCTCTTTATGTCAACAAGACTTCTATATTTTTAACATTTCATTTGATCACCTAAATTATACATAATTATTTGGCATATTAAAAATAAAAAATGCATAAACAAAATGTTATAAGAGTCATTTCTGCCTACCTGTATTTTCTATATAAAATTTCTATGTCATAACCTTCTCAAATTATTACCTGTTCTTCATACCAAATACAAATACAGTAATTTTCCTTTCCTTATGTCTCTAATATCATTATATATCTAATTAATAATCATATTTTGTACAATACCTTTTCATAAGTGAACAAACATGATATTGCAACTGATAAACAGAATTTTCCCAATTGTTTACTTTCCCAGTGGATTAGTTTCTGTCTCCTGAGTCTCACTGAAACCTCAGGACTTGCTCTGGGGGCTTCACTCAGCTCCTTCCAGAGCCCAGTTGGATGCTGGAATCTCTTTCCCTAAACATGATCCCTCACTTGCACACACTCTGTATGTGATTGCTTAGGTCTGCTTTATTTCTAGGGGTGGGGTTCAGGGTTTCCCGAGCTCTGAGCCACATCCACTACTGATTTGTATGTTATTTAGAGATAGGAACTTATTGAGATTCTTAGTGCCTTGCCTTTTCTGAGGCTGGCTTTGAATTTACAATCCTCCTGCCTCAGCCTCCTGAGCCACTGGGAGTACAAGGGTGTGTCATTGCACCCTGCCTATGCCTGCTTCTGTGAGTGTAATATTTGGACTTAGTTATATGAATTAATTTCAGGGATTTGACAGTTGAAAACCTTTTATTTATTTGTTTTTCTTCTAATTTGTTATATGTGACAGCGATATGCTGACAATTTATATTACAGATAGAGAACACAAGTTTTTCATATTTCTGGTTGTACACAAAGTATAGTCACACCATTCATGTATTTACACATGTACTTAGGATAATGATGTCCATCTCATTCCACCGTCTTTTCTACACCCATACCCCTCACTTCCCCTCCCACCTATTTGCCCTATCTACAGTCCCTCCGATGCTCCACTCCTCCCAATGCAATTATGAGTCAGCATCATTATATCACAGAAAACATTCAGATTTTGGTATTTTGGGATAGGCTAACTTCATGTAACATTGTATTATCCAACTCCATCCATTTACCTGCAAATGCTATGATTTTATTCTTTTTTAATGCTAAATAATATTCCATTGTGTATATATACCATTTTTTTATTTTTCCATTCATGTACTGAAGGGTATCTAGGTTGATTCCACCATTTAGCTATTGTGAATTGTGCTGCTATAAACAATGATGTGGCTGTGTCTCTGTATTATGCCATTTTAAAATCCTTTGGTTGTAGTCCAAGGAGAGGGATAGCTGGGTCAAATGGTGGTTCCATTCCCAGATTTCCAAGGAATCTCCATACTGCTTTCCATATTGGCTGCACCATTATGCAGTCCCACCACAATGCATGAGTGTGCCTTTTCCCCACATCCTCGCCAACACTTATTGTTGTTTGTATTCTTGATAACAGCCATTCTGACTGAAGTGCGATGAAATCTTAGAGTAGTTTTGATTTGCATTTCTCTACAAGCTAGAGATGTGGAACATTTTTCCATGTTTGTTGATTGATTGTGGATCCTCTCCTGAGAAATGTCTGTTCAGTTCCTGAGCCCCTTTATTGATTGGGTTATTTGTTTCTTTGGTGTTTAGATTTTTGAGTTCTTCATATACCCTAGAGATTAGCGCTCTATCTGTGTGTGTGTGGTAAAAATTTGCTCCCAAAATGTAGGCTCTCTATTCCCTGCACTGATTGTTTCTTTTGGTAGGAAGGAGATTTTTAGTTTGAATCCACCCCATTTATTGATTCATGATTTTAATTCTTGCATTATAAGAGTCTTATTAAGGAAGTTGAGGCCTAATCAGACATGATAGAGATTTGGGAGATTTGGGCCTGCTTTTTCTTTTATTAGATGCAATGTCTCTGGTTTAATTCCTAGTCCTTGATACACTTTGAGTGGTGTTAATAGTGAGAGATAGGGGGTTCATTTCATTTTGTTGCATAGTGTTTTCCAGTTTTCCCAGCACCATTTGTTTTAGACACTGTCTTTTCTCCAATGTATGTTTCTGTGCCATTGTCTAATATTAGATAACTGTAATTGTGTTACATCACAACATCACAAAAGCTATCTATGCTAATCTACAGTAATC